TATCAATATGGAGCCATCTGCTGTGTCATAAAGCATATACCCCTTTACTCCTGCTGGGAATCCAATGAACATGCATTTTCTTCCTCTTGGGTCCAACTTGTTCCTCCCATAGGGTAGAGTAGCAGCATAACATAAACAACCAAACGTTTTTAGATTGGAGATATCTGGAGATTTTCCATATAGCTTCGCATAAGGACTGGACCAACCGATCACCGGGGAAGGAAACCTGTTGATCAGAAAAACCGCATGCATTACACAATGTCCCCAAAATTCCAAAGGGAGATGAGCTTGGAATCTAAGGGAACGAGCAACACTGAGTATATGCTGGTGCTTTCTTTCGACAATGGCGTTCTGTTGGGGCGTATTCACCATGATCTTTGGTGGACAATACCCTTCTCTGAATAGAACTCGTCCATTTTGAACTCAGATCCATTATCACTGCGAATAGTTTTAATCAATAGACCAAATTCAGTAAAGACAAAAGCATGAAAACTTTTTATAAACTTTCTTGTTTCAGATTTCTGTTTCATCAGATGCAACCAAGTGTATCTTGAATAGTCATCTACTATAGTAAGAAAGTAATAATCTCCATTCAATGATCTAACAGGAAAGGGGCCCCATATGTCAATGTGTATTAGATCAAATGAAGCTTTTGAACAAGATACACTAATAGGGAAAGGAGAGCGCCTGGGCTTAGCTCTATGGCATATATCACAAGCTACATTTGGGTTGTGAGCAGCTTCAACATCTGTAAGAAGATGGAGTTTATTGAATGGGAAATGTCCCAGCCTTTGATGCCATGTTTCTGAGTTGGTGCATTGCATGGCATAAGCTTTATTTGGTGATCTGGAGGTCTCCATCAAGTATAGACCTCTGCCATCTTTAGCTGTACCAACTATCGTTCCAAGATCCTCTTGAATCAAGCATTATCCAGGCATAAAAATCAGCTTATAAGATGAATCTTGCACAAGTTTGCTTACAGAGATGATGTTGAATTGAAACGTAGGAATGTATAGAACATCTTTCAAACACAAGTTGTCTCTGAGCTTTACATCCCTTATTCTTTCGACTGCTATTTTCTGTCTTGTGGGCAGATTCACCTCAGCTCCTCTTGCAGATTGATAGTTAATGAGATAGTCCGAAGAACATGTTATATGGTTCGTGGCTCCTGAATCAAGGATCCAAGTATAGGAACATAATGCAAGAGAATTAACAAGAGTCATGGGGTACTTGCCTTCCTCATTGGCAGGTTGCTCTATAAATCTGGGAGTTAAAGCTACTGCAGCTGCACTTGGATTGATACTGGAAGGTCCAGGGGATTGATTCAATCGAAGGACAGATATAATTTGATTCAATTGATCAGGTGTGATTCCCAGATTTCCCACTTCTCCTATGTTGTTCATAACTGCAGCAGTGTGTTGTTGTTTACCTTTGGATTTGTATCCCGGCACCCAACCGGGGGGATAGCCGTGTTTCTTGTAACATTTATCCACCATATGTCCATTCATACCACAATAGGTACATTTAGGCTTCATTACATTACTTCGTTTGCCATTAAAAGATTGAAATGCAGCAGCTAAGTGTTTATCAACAGAGTTAATAGAATCATGTATTGCATTTGCATGCATCATGTCCAGATTACCTAGGTTTAGATTGGTTAGACCGATTTGTCTTTCCATCTTTTCAGCCATTACAAACACCTTGTATACATCTGGGAGAGGATCAAGGACTAATACGCTGGACTTAAAAGCATTGTATTCGTCATTTAAACCTTGCAAGAAACGGATTACCTGATCTGTTTCTCTTTCTTTTCTGATCTCGTCCATTAAATCACAGGAGCAACGTGGATTGCATTTGCAGATAGGGAGAGGCCTTAGATTGTTCATCTCCTCCCACATTGTCCTACTCTTGGTGTAGTATTCATTAACGGACAAGGATCCTTGCTTCATGCTATGAATTTCTGTCTGCAAAATCGAGATTCTCTATGCATCTTGCTGAGAAAGCCTCATCTTCAAGTCCTCCCACACTTCCTTGGCTTTATCAAAGTGCATCACACTTTGTGCGATGGATGCATGTACTGACTTGAAGATCCAAGAGCAAACGATCAGATTGCAACATCTCCAAGCACTGAACTGTGGATCGTTTCTGTCTGGTGAAGTGATGCTCCCATCTATTAAGCTCCATTTGTTTTTAACTTCTAGGGCAATTCGCATGGAGATACACCAACTATTGTAGTTGGAGCTTCCAGTCAATGGTGGATTCACGAGAATGGAGCACGGATTGTCGTTTGCTCCAAGTGAGAGAGGATTCTCCCCTCCTACATTATTCTGTGGCTGATGATGAGGATCTCTCTGTGAGATCGCTTCTGGAACGGTATGGATCGGCGTAGTGTGCATTCCTTGGCTGGTCTCTCCGCCGCCGACGGCGGTTGCGTAGGTGTAGGAACGGAGGTCTGATACCATATCGGATGTAGGCTACATGTGCGATGAAGGTGAAAAGGAGAATTCTGTATATTGACGCAAGTGTAGGGGTGTAAACAAATCAAATAATTTTAATTCGATTCGTGATTCGAATTCGAATATGTTGATTCGAATTCGAATAATTCGAATTCGAATCCGAATTCGAATACCTATTTTGATTCGACATTTATTCGAATCCGAATACGAATCGGAATATATTCGATTCGAATACTATTCGAATATATTCGAATATATATATATAATAGAATCTATAATATAATATAATATAATATTATATTTTTATATTAAAAAACAAAAAATAAACCCTAAGTTCCCTAAGTCAGTATCACAACGTGAGACTTGAGAGAAAATTGAACAAGCAACGTCGCTATTCTCCAACTCCAAGTCGCTATTCTCCAACCGCTTCAGTCAATCGTAGTCCGCACTTCCGGTCGCCGGAGTGCCGACTCCGGTCGTGACTCTGCCCTCCTCAAGCTCCAACACGGCAACACCTCATCTCCATTCTCTCCAATCTCCTGACTCTAGAGTCTAGAGCCCGAACTCCATGACTGTGACGGCTCCGTACTTCCGCGACAGAGAAGCTTCAACATCTGCACTCCAATCTCAAGATCTATGACGGTTTCGCGCTAGAGAAGCTCCAAGCCTCCAACGCCAACACTCCAGATCTGTTACTGTTCCGGCAGCAATGGACGGCAAGGGCATGACGGCGGCAACCGATAACAATGGTAATAGCAGTTGTTATTTCTCTATTGGTAATCATGGTGCTTAATCATTTCGTTGCGATGATGAATAGGTTGTGTGAGAGCAGATCTCCCTACCTAATACCCCTCTTAAGAAAGATAGGCCTCAGTTCTGCATTGTTAGAGAGGATTTTAATCTCAAAAATTGATATTCATTTCCAAATCAGCTTGATCCAAATTTCAGAGAAACCCATAGCCCTTAATTTAAGAGCCTCAAATTCAAATTTTCCTTTTCCTCTTTAAATAATGATTTACCTCAAAAGCAACCATAATGTTGTATGAAATTAATGACCAGGAATAAACGCACTTTAAGCATCTGAAATCAACTTGTTTAGTAGTGTTTAAGTATATTCACCATCGGCTTTGTCACCACTTTGTAAATAACGTTACAAAGTGATATAGGCTTGAGATCATAAATAGCTTCTGCATTCGGTTTCTTTGGGATAAGGACAATGATTATTGTTTGTTCTTTCCGAGAAGGTCCCGCTTTCAAGAAAGTCAGAGTAAAACTGAACCAAGTCGAAACCATGATTAAGCACCATGATTATTTCTCTGTTTGATATATATATTGTTATTTCTCTGTTGATATATATGTTATAGTAATTAGTAATTGTTAGTAATTGATATATACTGTAATTCGAGATATATATGTTATAGTAATCAAAGCATTTGTTAGTTTGTTTACCGTATGTTTTGTTATTTAACTGATTATGTGAATTGAATTTGAAAATTATTTATTTTATATTATTATAGTACTCAAAAAGAAATTATTGAATTTGTGGGCAGTAGATTCTTCCTTGGCTATTCAATCTTCAAATCCAAATGAGCAAAAACAAGGAGATGATGTTAGAGAATATGAGGAAATAAATTATGGTGATTTTAATGAAGTTAATGATGGAGGCCTTGAAGGTGATAATGTTCATGACTTGGATGCTAATGTGGAAGTTAATGATGATGGTATAGAAAATGAAAATATAGAGGTTGGAGATGAAAAAGGTGATGATGAGAAGGAATGTGAAAAGAATGATGATCAAGAACAATTTCAAAGAAAGAAAAGAAAGAGGGTATCAAAAGCTCACTTTGATTTTACTGAAGTTACTACAAAGGATGGAAGTATAAAGCTACAATGTATACATTGTAAAACACTCCTTTCTAAGTCAGCGTCTTCTACAACAACTCATCTTTGGAACCATTTGAATAGGTGTACACAAAAGAAGCTTCAAACAAAAAATCAAAAAACCTTGCAATTTCAGAATGCAAAATCCAAGTTTGAGACACCTCCTTTGTCCGATGGTAAATATGATCATACAAAGCAAAGAGAAGCTATTGCTCATTGGATTCTGATGCACGAGCAACCGTTAAGTGCTGTGGAAAATTTTGGCTTTACTTTCATGATGAATGTTAATCTTCCACAATATGAGAAAGTCTCTCGTGCCATGGCAAAGAATGACGTCATTACTGTTTATGAAATAGAGAAGAAAAAGTTACAATTGCTATTAAGAACCATCAATAAGATATCATTGACCACTGATATTTGGAAGTCTAAGGTGCAAAAGGTTTCATATATGTGTGTCACTGGACACTTTGTTGATTCAAATTGGCAACTTCAAAAGCGTGTACTTAGTTTCATGCCTCTTCCTCCTCCGCATACTGGTAATGTTCACTTGTTTGTAAATATATCTCTATAATAATTAATTAATAATAACTATTTCTTGAATTTAATTATATTATTGTCATATTTCAGGTGTTGATATCATTGATGGGATTATGAAGTCCACAAAGGATTGGGGAATAGAGCATAAAATCTTCACTATTTCAGTGGACAATGCTTCAAACAATGATGTTGCAGTTAGAATTGCCAAACAAACTTTCTCCAGGAGTCATAAGCTACCTTTGGGTGGTAAGCTATTTCATGTGAGATGCACTGCTCATATATTGAATCTTGTTGTTCAGGATGGTATTTCTGCAATTAAAACCATTGTTGATGATGTTAGGAATAGTGTGCGATTTATTAATCAGTCTGAGTCTAGGTTGATGAAGTTTTCTGAAATTGTGCATCATTTGGGAAATCCGGTGAAAAAGTTAGTTCTTGATTGTGTTACTCGTTGGAATTCTACATATGAAATGTTAGTTGTGGCCCTTAAACTTAAGGATGCATTCCCAATATTTGCACAAAGAGAGCCTTCATATAAATGTTGTCCTAGCTTGGAAGATTGGACTAGAATACAGGATGTTCTTAGCATCTTAGAGGTGTTTTATGAAGCTACTCAAGTGATCTCTGGAACTAACTATCCCACTTCTAATGTTTTTCTTGGTGTTGTTTGGAGGGTCAAGCATGTCTTAAATGAAAATGAGTTTCATCATGAAGAGGTCATTAGAAATATGATTGAAAAGATGAAGAAAAAATTTGACAAATATTGGGGTGATTGCAATCTTTTGATGTCTATTGGAGCAATACTTGATCCTAGGTACAAAATGAGGTTGGTTGATTTTGCTTTCAACCAAATATATAATGCAAATGATGCACGTGCAAATGTGAAGAATGTTAGGGATGCATTACATGACTTGTTTTATGAATATGTTGAAATTGATAACATGAGAAATCGAAGAGGTAGTTCTTCTGTGACACATGTTGGGAGTTCGGTTGTTACTTCTACACGCTTTACTTCTAAAGAAAAAGTAGTCCTTTCTGGTTTGTCTTTGTATGATAAATATTTAGACAGTGTTGAAGATGTAACTCCAAAAAAATCAGAGTTGGACATTTACTTGGAGGAAGGGGTTTATAGGTGTCAAGATGGTGAAGTAACCTCCCCTGTATTTGATGCCTTATCTTGGTGGAAATCTCATGAATTGAAGTTCAGTATTTTGTCTAAATTAGCCCGTGATGTTTTAGCTATTCCAATTAGCTCCGTGGCATCAGAAGCCACATTTAGTGCGGGTACCCGAGTTCTAGATCCTCATCGTGCTAAACTATCTTCTGACATGGTGCAAGTTTTAATTTGTGGAGCAGATTGGGTTCGTCAACTTCATGGGATCAATAAGCCTATTATGACATATGTAAGTTCTACTTTAGTAATTTAATATATCTTATTGATTTAATGATAATAATTTTAACTTTATTTTTATTTTTTTGTAGGAGGAAGAAGAACCAATTGATGTCATATTGCAAGCATGATGGCTGGGGGATATTTGAAGTTTAATTGTGATTGTTATTGTAGTACTTAATTTTTGAATTTGATTGACTTTTTTTGGGTTGATGTTGAAGCTTAATTCAAACTTAATATTCTTAATCTAGTATTTAATATATGAATTTGATGATTGACTTTTTGTTGTTATTTTAATGTGATTCTTGATTAGTGTATTAATGTAACATTTTATGCTATTTAATTATAAATTTTTATTATATTTTTTCTTAATTTATTAGAAATTTTTAAAAAAAATTAAGTTAGCCATTTCGAATTCGAATATTCGAGTCGAATCGAATATATTCGAATAAACTGGTCGAATCGAATACGAATCAAATTTAAGATTCGAATATTAAACGAATACGAATACGAATATTCGAATATATAGTCGAATTCGAATCGAATAGTGAGATATTTGACTCGATTCGATTCGTATACACCCCTACGCAAGTGTGTATGTATCTGTTACAGAGGAGAGAAGAGAGCTACACTATATATATACAGAGGGAGAGGGAGGAAGACGGTTATAACTACTTTCTTGCTTTGTTACGTCACTGCCCTCTTGCTTTGTTACTGAGCATTGTGTCTCCAATACCATACTTACTGCTCTAATGTCTAGTTCACATAGGTTGAGAGATATTTGAAGCAACTTCAAAACACCCATGAACTGTTTTACATTGGCAAACTTTAAAGAATCCAGTTTGATTACTTGCAGATTTATTGCAGTTGGGAAGGAGGCTACTTCAATATCTTCCCACTTATTAAAAAATAAATTAAAAAAATATAAGCTTTGAAAAGAACTCTATCAAATGAGAAGGCAAAGAATATTTAATCTGTCAATACTAGATATAGTCCATATATGAAGGAAGAGAGATTCTCACCAACATGCAGCTATGATCCAAGCAAAGAACCTTAATTGTTTCCAAATGAAATGCAAGCCATCTGGAATTAGCTGCAGGTATTAAACCAAAAATAGATCAGACAAGCATTCAAGTTTTGGAGCTCTGAACTTAAAATAAGTGATCCCTTCACAATCATTGAATTCCAGCTTCTCAAGATTAGGAATGCTAGATACAATTCCGTTAACATCATTATAATTAAAAGCAACATCAGAGAAAATTAATGAAGTGACACCGAGAAAAACTGAAGGAGCATTTATTGGGCAATCAAAACCCAAACTGTTGAGTCCCAGCTGCTTGATTGTGGGGCACGAGACTATACAAAATGACATCTTATATTGACGGTCCCAAATTAAAATATCAAGTTCCTCAATGCCATTTCTTGACAGATAAAGACACCACTGATCCAAATCTGACTGCTCCAGCATAGGATCAAGTAAGCCACTGATGTGTAGGCTAAATTTCTTAACGGGTTGAACACGCTGCAAGAGAATGTAAGTTATTATTTTACAAGGCACGGTACTTTCACCATTGCATTTTATGATATCCCAGAAGAAGTCATCACCGAAAGCAAGCCGGCTAAGCCGCAACCAAAACATGATTCCAGTTCTGGCGGCGTCTCGGCTGGGCAAACACTCCAAAATTCTGACCTTTAAATCTAATGGCAGCTCACTTATTAAATCCCTACTTGCATCCGCTACCATTTTGAGTCGCAAACGTCGAGTCTTTAAATTGAAAGAATAATAAGGCGTTAGACGAAATCAAAAGCTAAAATTGTTCTATTCTATTCTTCAACTGCAAGATTTTGTATTTCGTCAATAAAACAACGAAATTAGGAAGAAAACAGAGATTGGGGAAAAAAGTGATAGAAACCCATCACCTTGGCAAATTATGTTGTGGAATCATGTCCACCGTGCATAGTAGACATGGTTCTAAAACTGCGTCGTTTTGATTAAAAACGACGCCGTTCCAATTTTTTTTTAAAAAAATTCTTTTCGATTGTGGTTAACAACGTTTCTGTATAGACATTATAAATCTACAGGATAGAAATTATGAATCTACAGTATTAGGTTTGTGAACATGTGATAGAGCTATATGTTCATAATTTTATAAATATATGTTCATGATTATAGAGCTATATGTTCATAATTTTCAATGTTCATAATCCTACTTGTTGAACTTTGTATTCACAAATAACAGAACTATATGTTCATAATTTGACAACTATACAGTTTAGAAATTATGAATCTACAGTACAAATATTATGAATCTGCAGTATAGAAATTATGAATCTACTGTACAGAAATTATGAATCTACTGTATTGAAATTATGAATCTACGGTATAAAAATTATGAATTTACAGTTTAGAAATTATGAATCTATAGTATAGATTTTATGAATCTACCATATAGACTCTGTATGACATTATGGAGGAACGGTGTCACTAACGGCACTATTACTCAACCTCATGAAAATGGCGTTTTTGGAACCGTGCCTACCTTATAAGGTGGGCACGGTTCCACAGCATAACGATTGCTCATGTTTGGTTTGGGTCGCGGGTAGTTCACTAATCAAATCCCTTTTTGCATCTGCTACGATTTCGATTGAAGAACTAGCCATTAAATTGGTAACTAGGAAAGTTCCAAACTTCCAACTTTTCTAAGGTTAGAAAAATTATTCCTATGTAATTTTTGACTTATAAAAGTTTGGGTCAATGAAAATCACCTACTTTTTTTTTTTTTCGCGTGACTTAAAATCTATCAAATTACGTATTTATCTTTTTTTTTTTTTTTTTTTTTTTGGCATCAAGTTAACAGTTTTTTTTTATTAAATTAAATTGTAATATCTGTTCATGAGCACCGAGCACAAAGAGTCAGGATTGCCTCCACTGAGGTTCGACCTCATGACCTCCCATATGGGAGAGTCACTACATGTCATTTGAGCACAAGGTGCTTGGCACATTGCACATTATTTATCAAAGAAATTTATATCCAGATACATAGTTAAAATATTCCGTAATCTAATTTGCAATATGATTCATACGTAACTTTGTAATATTTATGAAAATGACCCCGTTCATTTTTTACTTGTTTTTCCATTCATCAGATCTTTCAGATCAATGGTTTGGATTTGTCCACAAATTCTCATCTGAGGGGTGGTTCACATATGATTAGGATTATATATAAGAGTTACGTTGGATCCTATGAGACCACCCTTCTACATGAGATCATGAGATTGCATCCTAAGCATCCATCTCCAAAATATGAATGACTATTATTTAAGATTGTTTCCTAAGCATCCATTTGGGGGGATTCACCATCTGAAATGTTTTTTTTTTTTTTTTTTTTTTGTGAAAATGCAAAAAGTTTTTAGAGTTCTCATATTTGGAGCGAATGATAGGGTTTATACAATTTGAATGCTAACTTGCTATTCATTTATTCATTTTGAATTCATGTTTTAGAAATTTAGTGTTTAAGCAATATAATTTGAATATGAATTTTGAATTATTGTTTTATTTCTACTTTAGAGTTAATTCCACCAGAAGTCATTTGTCTTTGATGACAATTTCAAATTTAGTTCTAAATTGTCGTTTTTGTCATTTAATATCCCAAACTATTATTTTTTTGTGATAAAAATAAAAGTTAAGATACATATTTTGGTCAAATAATGGAGAGTCAATGACTAAAAAGAATAATAACTCAATAGTCAAATGAACCTTTGTGATATTTACTCTACTTTATAAATCTAACCCTTTAAATTAAAAATTAAAATTCAACACTCAAATTCTGAATCCTTAAGAATTTAAATCTAAATTCCTAAATCTTAAAATCTAAATTCTAAAATCCCTAAAACCCTAGCGACCAGAAGAACGACAAAGGGACTCCGCCAAACACTCCGACGACGCTGCGAATCTACGAATTGGGTAAGTCTTCTTTGTTGAAATCTATGGAACGCTGCCTCCCTCCCTCCATCGTCGATTTTCTTTCTCTGTTTATTCCCAGTCCTTAACTTTTTTTTATATAAATTTTATCGATTAATTTACTTGCTGAGAGATGTGTCATAGTGTAGGGATGTTGAAGTTGCATCTTTCAATAATTTGAGTTTGGGTGCAATGACAGATTGTATTAGCTAGTAGTTGGATGAATGCACATTGTTGAAAGGTCGACCTCAATTCCAGTCAATCGTGTTGAAAACATCTATATGGCAGTGGCAGGAGAAGACAGAATTAGTGAGCTCCCTGTGGGTATACTTGACAATATTTTGGGATTTTTGCCGATTCAAGAAGCTGCTAGAACTGTGATTTTATCTTCTTCCTGGAAGGATATTTGGTTTAGTCTGACAAAGCTCAACCTTGGTTATGGTTTCTTTGATTACCTATGTCTTAAATATTCCGGTGCTGAAGGTCTGAATTCGGAATCTCCTATTTTTGATGTAATCAACAAAATTCTCATGCGGCACAATGGACCTATTCACAAAATTGTCTTCGAATTTTCTGGAGAAGTATTGGAATTCATTTCCTCTGAAGAATTTGATTTTGAGGATATAGCAAATTTGATTTCGGACAACTTGAACCGGTGGTTTCTTCTTCTCACCCAGAATGGTGTTGAAGAAATTGGCATTTCTTATTATATGGATATAGAAGTAAGATGCAGGGTGCCGAATTGCATATTTTCTTGCCCAACACGGAAGAGATTGAAACTTGATAATGTCTCTGTTGAACTAATTAATGCATATTGTGTACTTCCGAATGTTACATCACTTTTTCTTCAGTATGTTGACTTTAAGCCTAGTACTTGTTCGGATTATGTTGTTTATCTTCCTATACTAGAGGGTCTCACATTTGTCAAATGCTATAAGATATTTTATTTTAACATTGTTGCACCAAAACTTGGTAGTTTGGAAATCATCCTGCCCTGTTGTGATTATTGCAAAGAATTTGGTGTTCTGCCGCCTAACTTGGACTTGAGATCTATATCAAGTCTTAATTTGGAGTGTTCCACTTGTTGCTTTGAGGTAAATTGGCCTGATGACTCTTTTTTTGTTTGCTTCTGTTTTTATAAAATATTTTTTAGGAACTGATCTATTTGTCTTTCTCTTGATTTCCAAGGTGTTTATTGAAGAACTTAATAGAGTAGGACAACCGTTTGCACTAAACGTTGAACGCCTCAAGCTATGTATATCAAGCGATAATATCTGTTTGCCAGATATTATAAATAGTTCTGCATTCATACATCTGTTGCGAGTATGCCCAAAATTATGCGAACTTGATATATGTGATCAACTTGATATATATGATGTAGAGGTAATCTTCATATATATATATATATATATATATATATATATATATATATATATATATATCAACTGTTTCATAAAATTTTGATTGATTCCATTATTGTTGCATTTCTTAATGCAAATTTGTTATGTAAATTATGAACTGATTGCTTATTTATTTTTATGTTTTGTTATTAGTTTTTGAGGTTAAATCGAAAGGATTTTGTGCTTATGGAGGAACTCAGCAGTGTGGCTCGAACACTGAAAATGCTTCACACTTTGAAGTTTAGCTATTTTCATGGGTTGGGGTCTGAAATGCAATGTATTAAGGTGTTACTTTCTTGCTTTCCAGTAATTGAGAAGGTTGTTATTGTTCGAGGTTGGATTCACTCTGATGAAGAATTTAAAATTACGCAGGAACTTTTACGTTTCCCTCGCGCCTCTGAAAAAGTAGAAATTTTTTACATATTGGAATATTAGTTTTATGTTGTTTCCTTAGTACGTAAGTTCTGTATTGTGTAATGGTTTGTGAGATTGCTTATTAGGTTTGAATGTACTATCACAATTGCAGTTGGGTTTAAGGTGAATTAATTGTTTGTTCCCGTATTATATTAAGTGTAGAGTGAATTAAGGGACAAAACACCATACATTTATGGTAATTAATTACATTCTTTAGCATGGAACTCCACTAAAGTTTTGTATTAAATTAAAAAATTTAAAAGTTTAAATATAATTGTTATCTAGCAATTTTATATTAAATACAATAGGCTCAACTAAGCCTTAAGTCGGTCTAAGCCTTAGAGCATCCCCAATAGGAGTTTGTTCATGATAAAAAACTTGAAGGAGAGGTTTTTAACTAATGTAGATGGGTGGTTTTTGGTGTTTGAGGTCTCCTACAAACAAAGGTTTTTGTTAGAATTAAAAAACAAAAAGTTACAGCAGTGAGACACGGTTGTTTCTCATTGAACAACCAGGCGCGTGTGTTACACACACCTGTTGAGGCCTTTCAGAGTGGTCGAAATGAAAAGGAAAATGGTCGTTGCCAATGACAACAACCAATTTTTTTAGAAATATTATTAATTATATTATTTTTATTTCCTATAAATGCAATGTCTTCCACAATTTGTAAACACTTTTCATCCTACTCTCAATTCATTCCTATACTACTCTTAATTCATACATTTTAAAGCAACAACGACAATTAATTTAAATATTTGTATTTTATTTTTTATGCACTTTATTTTTTTAACCGCTTTGTTGTTCAATCGGTTTTAAATAATTGTTTTTAATTTTAAAGCAATTATTAGTTGTTTAATTTTAATTTTATAATTTTAATTTGAGTTAATACCCAAATGGTCCTCTGACTATTAGTTAATACTCGATTTTGTCCCAAAGTATTTAGCATACTCAATTTAGTATTCTTACTTTTAAAATCACACCCAATATAGTCCTCGGTTACAATTACAATTAATCAACTGTTATGTTGAAGGGTATAAGCGTCATTTTAGTGATTGATGCACATCCTTCCCTAAAATGAAGCTGCGTGCAGAACTTCCGTTGCCAAGAGAAAGGGGATGGGTAGTTGGCGGAGACATTCATTTGCTCAATGGGTTTTGGTACCCAACATGGGTCATCCATGGCTTCCTAGCACTCCAACAACACTTCAAACCACACCCCAATGATGTCCTCTTAGCCAGCTTCCCCAAATCTGGAACCACTTGGCTTAAGGCTCTTTTGTTCACCATTGCGAACCGGGCAAAGTACAACGTTAACGGCGGTGGTAGCTGGTCTTCCGGCGTAGTAGCCTCGCGACCTGTTGACCGCTGTCTCTCCACTTCACGACTTGCAGCAGCGGTGGCAGTGGGTGGTAGTTGGCGGCCAGTCCCCTGTTCCGGCGACAAGCAATGGATGGCAGCGACAGTCCGGTGTTACTCTCTCCCTCTTGCTTAGCTTCTTTAACCAGCGCCGGACTGTGGCGGGTTCCGGCTTCTTTCTATATTCTTTTTCGTCTCTTGTTGGAGTCCAGCCGAACCACCTTCCACTACCATTATCTTCAACCTTCACCTATTCAATCAACTAACTAACAGCAACTACAGTGTACGGTGGCGGTGACCGGTGAATTTAATTTCTGTGGCGTAGAGGCTACTTCCTGACGGTGGCTAACCTTTCTCTCCTCTCGTCGATAGTGGTTGGAGATGTTGGCAACGTGTACGGCCGATCGACGAAGCTCGATGGAAGTTGGGTAGAGCAACTCTGGCGACCCTGGTTTCTCGGCGAGCAATCGACGATGGTGGTAGTTGGTCTTTCGGCGTAGCAGCCTCGCGACTGGTAGCAGCGGCGGCAGTGGGTGGTAGTTGGCGGCCGGTCCCCTGTTCTGCGACAAGCAATGGATGGCAACGGCAGTCTGGTGTTCCTCTCTACCTCTTGCTTAGCTTCGTTAATGGTGGTGCCCTCAAGATAAGCGCTGGCTTGGCTTATGACGCTTATGCCCTCAAAATAAGGGTGGTTTGACGGTAATTGTAACAGAGGACTATATTGGGTGTGATTTTAAAAGTAAGAGGACTAAATTGAGTACGCTTAATACTTTGAAATAAAATTGAGTATTAGCTAATAGCCGGAGGACCATATTGGGTATTAACTCTTTTAATTTCTTTAAAACCAAAAGCAATGGTATATTATTGCAGAAGACCCACACGGACTTAACTCAATGGTTTAGTGAGCAGTATTTGGGGTAAGAGACCAAGGTTCGAACTTCGGCGGCGGCAGTGTGAGAATTATGTCCAAAGTGGGTAGATTCCTTGTGCGCATCGGCATTGGGCCCTCCGTACTAACCCATTGAGTCACCATGATGTACATGCTCTGTCGGGTCGGAGTGTGGGGGGCTGAGGATTCAGCCTTTTGGGGTAAGATTATTGCAGAAGAACTTTGGCGGGACAGAGTCCCAATACAATGTGTTTGCTTGTGAATAGGTAAGAACTTCGGCGGGTGATGAGCTAAAGTATTAGCAATCTAGCACTAACTGAATATAACAAGAAACAAAGGAAGTGATATGATAAGCAAAACTCCATCCATAGTTTATACATTGTTGCTTCAAGAACTCCAATGGATTAAAGTTTTGTTGTCTACCATTAATCTCCTATATGAACTAAATGGTGTAGTTGTAAGGCTGCAACAGGAGCAATGGGAGGACCATGCTTAAATAGCCTACATGCCATCATTATAAGCTAAGTTACAGAAACCGTTACTTCCATTTCAAACCACAGCATAATGGCTATAAGTGGCCTATTAAACTTGCACCACTTAATAATGTCATTATAAATGAAAATGTTACATTCTCCCACTTGGTGCAAGTATTAACTCAAAGAAACAAAAAACATGAACCATAGAGGTAGTTCCTCTTAATCAGGGTAGTATCTACTTATGATTACAATGTAACTTCTTCTCTAAGTACCTTATGTGACATAAAACTTAATGAATAAACCTTATGTTCATTCTTGATTATAATTAGTTATCAAAAACTAATTATTGCCGCATTGACTAAATTTGGCCTAATAAACTTACACCACTTGATTTGTACAACATTAATGGAAAATGTTACAATTTTCCATTTGGTGCAAGTATTTGCACAACCTTCATTGAAGATCAAAAGCATGAATCATAGTGGTATGTCCTCTAAATTAAAGTGTGAGTAATACCATCTATGCATCAAATGCATTTTGATTCCCAACTTAGGTCCTTTATGAATAAACCCTATGTTTATTCTTGGTCCAACCTTATGGATGTTTCTCAAATAAATATGCGCATAACTATAGGAGAAAACATTCATATTACATAGAGGTGACAACATAAATGTACGTACAATATAGTCACATAATAAGTTTCATGTACCCTGTTTGATCCCTAAAATTCTTATAAGCATGCCTTAAGTAGGGATCTATAACTATTAGCAAAATGCTAATAAATTGCATGAATAACTCATTATCTTTAATACTATCGTTGACAGCTAAGTTTTCAGAGTTGACACGTCTGTCACTCCCACTCTCATTAATCTTAGCCAAAGACAGTAATTCAGTAGTCCATATTCTAACGACTTAGATAACAAATTCATGAGTCTAAGCCCACAAATGGAAAAGCCCACAAATGGAACTTTAAACATACACTTTATAAATAATCTTCAAAACAAAAAGGAAGCCCAACTTTCATGCCAGAGAGCAATAACGAGCTGAGGACTTATCAATGTAACTTAAAACAACAAAATATTGTATCAACATAACCAAAAATCCTCAAGATTCATCTATATGAACCAACATCATGAGTCTTTGCTTGCTTTATGTCTCTCAACATTGAATTTTTAGCCTTTTAAAATCATAATGGCCCAGGATCAATTTGATGAGACTAAAGACTCCAATAAATGCTAAAGAATCCAACTCGTGATAATTCACCATAAACTTAATGCCATTGTTATTATAATTAAAAACTATTAATGTTGTTACAACATTTTCAGAAATATGTTGCAGAACTTGTAGTTCAATTTGAACTATTGATTTTATAATAACAAGGCAAGGCGTCTTATCCTTGAAGTGGAGCAATCTTGAAGTGGGACATCTTTAATGATCTTTTCAAATGATCACTCCCACTAATCAAACGAGGTATCTTATTGGATCTTTCCAAATGATCACAACCACTGATCAAATCATTACTCCCACTAATAAAGTTATTCTTGAGCATAAATGATATACACACTAATAATCCTCAAGTCCAACTAATTTAACAAGGATTATAATTCTCCACCATAGTTGGACATGTTAAATATGTACATGTAACAGACACAATTTCCAACTACTTAAACAAATGAAATTGCTATAGTTGAAATTTGGCTAGATATATACAATTCCAATATAAGGATCCAAAAGTATATCATGTCCAAATTCAAAAGCTCTACTGTGGTTGGGCTGAAAAATCAAGTAAGCCACATACAGTAACAATTTCAAGTTACTAAAGTTTTGGAGGTTAACAAAATACATGTGTTGCCAATGCAACCCATGTGACATAGAATTATAACTGGCCTTAAAGTTATAAATTCTAAAATTGGCATGAGAAAATTTTATCTTGATCATCAATTTAAACAGAAGAATCCAGTGACATAAAACTTGCCTGTAGGCTAAAGATTCATTCAATAAGACTCAACTGAGACTTTATGATAATCAAATAGAAGAATCTAGTGACACAAAACTTGCATGTGGGCTAAAGTTTTGTTCAATTAGACTCAACTAAAACTTTACGACAAAATTATTATAAAAGTGATAGAAGAATCTAATGACATAAAACTTTCCTGTGGGCTAAAGTTTTATTCAATTAGATCCATCTACAACTTTATGATACTATCAAACCATGTTCATTTTCTTAATTCCTATGGGTAAATTAAGAAATATGATTTGATATTTTATTCTGACTATTTACATAAATATAATGAAATTCATGTGGGTAGATTTTATTATATTTTATGTAATTAGTCACAAAGTGATCAAAAACTTAACAATTTCAGTTATGAAATTGTATTGATCACTTGATATTTGTACACAAAAGAATATTAATGTACTAAGCTATTAGTCCAA